GCAACTTGGCACTGTTAGTACTCGGATATTTTACAGCTGTTGATGGAATCAGCCTCTCTGAGAGCTACTATAGAGTTCGGGAAACATGACTACTAGCCATCCTCAGAACCATAAAACTGAGTTTTAGAGCTGTACCCTCATTAGAAGATAATAGAATGAGTTGCCTAGTCATAAAAACACAAGCAAAACCCATGCATTGAGTCAAGAAGATCCAGCATTCAAATTATCAAACTGAAAACAATGTATTGTAAATACAGCTGTACCAGTTTAATAGATGAAAAAGGAGTGTGAGGCTGGTCAACAGAATCTGTTTACCCCTTAAACCCATACGTGCATATATACATACATACTTATATACATACACATTTCGAAGTGCATTACATGCACATTTTGAAATGCCCCTCAAACAATACAACAAAACAAAAACAAAAAATTAATTCTATATTCTTCTTATATATACATATATATATATATATATATATATATATATATATATATATATATATATATATATATTATTTTTTAAAATAACACGATGTATTTTATTTTTGACATGTTTCGTAAAATTTTATTTACATTTTCAAAAGATTATTTTACAATAATAAAACTCTGAAATAAATATTAAAAAATAAAACTCTTTACAAAGAAATGATAACGGACAAAAATTTACTTCTATTTTTTAATATTTTTTTCAGAGTTTTATTATTATAAAACAATCTTTTAAAATTGTAAATAAAATTTTATGAAATATGTCAAGAATAAAAAACATCGTGTTATTTTAAATAATAATTACTTATTTTGTGCTATTACGATGATCACAATATATATTTATATATATATTTATATATATATATATATATATATATATATATAAATATATATATATATTTATTTATATATATATATATATATATATATATTTATATGTATATATATTTATATATATATATATATTTATATATATATATATATATATATATATATATTTAAATTAGTGCTGGGCAACGATTAAATATTTTAATCGCGATTAATCGCATGATTTTTTGCGATTAATCGCGATTAATCGCAGAAATACGAAAAATTCAATAATAAAACCACAAGTAGTATATATATAGCGTAAATTTATTTTTTCATAGTTAAATTAACATAACTTTTGGTTTTTTAAAACTTTAAACAATTTTATCCATTCTTCCAACTTTACTTACTCATCTGCACCAAGCCAGTTACTAAGACAAACAAGGTAATTCACATTTTCAGATGATAAACTCTCTTCTTTTGTACAATATGACCAGCAAGAGAAAACAATCTTTCACAAGGAACAGATGTTGCAGGTGTTGCCAAGTACTTCTGTGCAATTGAGGCCAGCCTGTTGTGTGAGCCTGCATGTTTGGACCACCACTGTAGAGGACAGGCCTCTGTACTGATGGTGGGCTCTGCTTTGTACCGACGCACACCGTTTTCAATTGAGTGTTCCTCTTGTTCAGAATCAGACTCTGATGAAGCAACCAATAGAGCAAATTTTCTCTTTGATGGCTTTGATGTTGCTGCTTCCACAGGTTCATCTGCAATAACCCTCTGTTCCTTGAGTAAGTTAGTGATTGAGACCCACACCTCACCTCTCTCAACTCTGGGTATACACTTGAGGTCTTTGAATCTCGGGTCCAATGCGGTTGCAATCTTTAGATATGCAATGTTGGCATTTTCCTTGCGTGTTTTCAGATCTATTCTGAACATAGATTTGAATTTGACTACATAAGCCGGGTCATCATCTGAGCTCTCCATCACCCGAGAGAGATGGCATAAAGCAGGCAGAACCACAGAGCATGAAATGTACTTTTCTCCACCCAGAAGTTCAGTCACATATCTGCAAAAAATAAAACCCATTTCACTCAAATGTTTTGCATTCACTTATACACACAAAAAGTGTTCTCATGTTCATGCTTACGCACAAATACAGACACATCAATTCTCTCACATGCAATCAAACCAGTCAGTAAGAAATATATGATGTAAAATATACCTGCAGGGTTCTAGGAGCTTTTCCAACCTCTGCAATTTGTCCATTTCAGCTGGAGTTGGCATAGCAACTTTTGTGTTGTGTGTGGTGAGGACATCGCTCAGTGGCTGTTCGTTTCTGCGAACACTTTTTATCATGTCCAGAGTCGAGTTCCATCTGGTTGGAATGTCTTGTATAAGCGACTCCTTCTTTTGTCCAAGCTCAATTTGTTTTTTTTCTAATTCTGCAGCACTTGCTGGACTGTGTTTAAAATGGCCCACCACCTTTCTGCATTTAGCCAGGGCATTGTCAAACGCGCTGTTGTGCAAAGATACTGTGACAGAACGCTGAAGACTGTGAGCGACACAAGGGACGCGTTCAAAAGGCAGATGTCTTGCAGCAGCGACAATATTTCTAGCACAATCTGTGCTAAGTGTGCTGACTTTATTTAAAATGTCCCACTGCTGTGCAACATGAATGAAATGTTCTGCGCACGTTTCAGCAAAATGTCTTGTGTCTTCATTACTGTCAAAGCATGTGAATGCAGTTTCCATTGTTCATCAATGTAATGCACAGTTACTCCGAGATAATTATGGTTACCCAGCGATGTCCAGTAGTCTCCGGTGAGGGCAACAGTTTGTGCACGTTGTAATGCCGTTGCCTTTATAGTCCTCTCATTTTCATACAGTTCATGTATTTTTCTTACAATGGTGCGTCTTGGCGGAGGCTCATACGTGCAGTCATTCGTTGCGATCTGAATAACATTCTTCAAACCGACATCTTCCACAATACTAGTTGGCCTGCAATTTGCAGCTACCCACTTTGCAATGCCATTTGTTATCTTGTCTTTCTTTTGTTTCTCTGTAGTTCTCCCTCATGCTGCATCTAACGTAGTCTGCCGAAGGTTTCCTCCACTGTTTGTTTGGGTGGATGATTTGTTAGCATCAACGGTGTGCATTGCATTTAAGTGATACTTCAAACTTGAAGTACTCCGATGATAAGAAAATTCCGCTTTGCAGTGTTTACAAATAGCTTTAGTTCTATCTACTCCTTGTTGAAGAGGTTTAAAATAAAAGTGTCCGTTTAAAATTTCGGTACCTTTTTCCATTTTTAAATATTTCTCAATTTACTTACTGCTTGTTGTTTGAGCATAAGCAACAACATAAATACGCAGGAAAGTTTCAATTCTTTTATGATTCGATTATTATCGAATTATAAATAATTAAATTATAATTCGATTATTACATAATTTTGAAACAATACAAAATAAATAAACAAAACTATAAATAAACATAAAAATACAAAATGCAAAATAACTTTTTTAATATATTAATACTAATATAAATTAATATAATAATTATTATAAGCAATAATAAGCAAAAAATATAAAATGAGAAATGAAAACTTTGACAGACAGTTTCACAAAAGAAAAATAAAGTTAAGCTTGTGAATCTTAAAAAAAAAAACGAGCGGCAGAAACTCATAATGAACTCATTGTAAAGACTAATAGGTGGAAAAAAAAATTTCATAAAAACTTAGCAAAAAAATATATTTTTTTACAATAATAAAATCTGGAGATTAATTTTTTAATTTAAATTTAATAGTTCTGTAAACTAAAGATTGACAGGTCTGTTTTGATGAATTTTGTGCAGCCCTGTCACTTTTTAGTTTAATGAACTATTAAATTTAAATTAAAAAGTTTACTTTTCACTTTTGAGACTTTCAAAATAAAAAGTACATTAACGCGCGATAAAATTATTGTCGGCGTTAATTAATTAATGCGTTAACGCGATAATAACGCGTTAACTTGCCCAGCCCTAATTTAAATATATAAATATATATATATATATATATATATATATATATATATATATATATATATATATATATATATATATATATATATATATATATATATTCTCTTCCGTCTTCATGTTTTCCTGACTCATACAACCTTTAACTTTTTAAGTCTTCCGTTAATCGTTTCCTTGCCCTATAATTCTATAACTTAATAACTCTTTCTTCTAGTAACTCCTAACTTAATAGTGGTTTCTTGCAGCATTATTGGGAGTAAATTAGAATAAAAAAAATTGTGTATATATATTCATATATATATACATATATATATATATATATATATATATGTATGTATATATATATATATATATATATATATATATATATATATATATATATATATATATATATATATATATATATATATATATATATATATATAATAATTGTTTTGATAAATACCGTTATAGAGTGCTCAATACAGAGTAGAGCGAATTATATTCTTTAAAATAAAATAATAACATTTGGTAGTTTAAGAAACATGACATGACAAGTTTTACACCTATGGCAATCATCAAATATTACAAATAATCTTAACGACAAAAAATTTGTAAAAAATACTATGCAGTGTCTATTTTGATGATGTTAAAGTTGTTTATAAAAAATTGGTTTTTGTGGCAACATTTTGATACCAGCTCATTTCTTTTGTTTAATAATTTCATTTTTGATGTTATTATGTGATATTTTTCAGTTAGGCAAAGGTTGCATGACTTTCCTCTGGGTTTAAACGGTTGCACTTTGTCTATAATTTTTCATGTAATAATAGGATGTGTATATCTTTTTTTTTAATTTCTCACATAAACATGGAAAGTTCTGTTGAATTTGCTTTGAATTTATTATTATTTTTTTTGAATGTAGACATCATGTATGAGAGTATGTAAATTATTATTTGATAAACATCAATAAATTTTCTCTCGATACTAAATTTATTTTTTAAAAGAAATTTTCGCTGGATTGTTGTGACTAGCCTCTTCAGCGTAAAAATTTTTTTTTTTTTTTTTAAATAAAATAAAATAAATTTAGTATCAAAAGAAAACCATATTTATTGATGTTTATAAAATAATTATATACACACATATATATATATATATATATATATATATATATATATATATATATATATATATATATATATATATAGACTTACCATCTTCATCTGTTCGATAGGAAAATACTTGCCCATAAACATAGAAACCAAATTCATTTTTTACACCTGCAGAAAATTTATACCATGTGTAACTTTGGAGTGAAGAAATATCAGTTATGTAGTTTATAACAGGTTTTAGATATAAATTTTGTTGTTTTAAATATAAATTGACATCATTTGGATTTTTGCATTTAATTTTAAAATCTGCCGTTGAATTCCAAACTGGAACAGATAAGATTATTGTAATATTAACAGAATATTTGTTGATGCTTTCAATCTTTTTAATCATCAAACCTTTAAGCAAAAGTATAATTCAATAAGAATTCTTAGCAAAAAATACACAAATATATAGTATAAATATATACCTTTTAATAAAAAAAATATAAATATATATTATTTAATTAATAGTACTTAATAAACCAATGTTTACAAGCTTATCATTATTTTTAATTTTTATAAATATTGATTTGTAGTTTGAGTATTTATAAATATTGATTTGTAGTTTGCAGTTTATTCCTTTTATTAAAAAAACTTCAATTACTATTCAATTACAATATTATTCAATTACAATATTATTCAATTACAATATTACTCAATTACAATTTCTTTAATATATAGGGTGTCTCAAAAAATGTACTTATACTTTGAATGACAAGAAAAAAATTTATGAAAATATAGTGAAATGGAATAGCTTTAAATACAGAAGACAAATGTAATTAAAGTACCATGTTTGCAACAGTTCAAATTGAAATTAGAAACTGATTGGTAATTTAGCATTATTCCAAATGACCTATTATTTGTTAATTGCAATCCCTTTGGTGCATGTTGTCAAAAATGTCTGGACAAAAATGGTCATAGATTTGAACATTTGTAAATACAATTTTTCAATTAGTTTTGTCTTCTGTATTTAAAGCTATTCCATTACACTATATGTTCATAAATATTTTTCTTATTATTCATAGAGTGATTACATTTTTTTGAGACACCCTGTACATAATAGATATATAAAATATAAAATAAAATTGTAAAATAAATAAATTTATTATACAATAAAATAAATATTTCATTTTAGTTAAAAATAAGTATCAAAATGATAAAGCTTAAACTGGATAAAAGATTTTATGCCAAGGTAAAAGTCAATTGTTTAAGTTAACAACATTTCCTTTGCATTATTTAGAAGTTAAAAAAAAGTTTTTAAAACTGGGGCAAAAAAAAATTTTTTTGTTGGCTCACATTCGATTATATCCCGTTACATAAAAAGTTTATTTGATTAAAACTTACCAGTTGCAACAAGAGTAAAATCTGAAACAAGTGCATTTTGCAATATTTCAAAATTATACCCATTTTTTCCAATAAAATGTGAAAGGTAATTTGGATGTGCGGACTGTATTGAAAAAGATAAATCCTTTTGATGGATATAATATGATCTATCACCAGCGTAATCTGTTGGTGAAAAATTGTCAAGTCTAATAACCATACTTCTATGTCGTAGATACTTGTTATCTTTGACAGATTGAAAAGAAACTGCTCCTTGAAATAATATTTCTAAAAAGAGTTTATGAAGATACTTACTAAGATGAAATTCAATTCGATATTTGCAAAAAACGAACTTTACAAAAAATATATAAGATCTAATAATGATAAAACTAAAAACTTAATTGAAAATAAAAGAACCAACTTTTCTCTTCATTAAAACTTTTTATTTTTAAAGATATTTTTAAACTATTCAACTTTATAAATATTTCAAGCAAAAATGGATAAAACTGTTTAATAAACTTAAATCAGAATAGAGATAAAAATACATATTGTAGGAATTTTAAGGAAACTTGAATATGGCTTCTGTACAAAGCCTCCTAGGCTATAACTTCAAGAGTAAACAGAAAACTCTGTTGACCAACCTTGCACTCCTATTTTCTCTAATAAACTGGCATAGATGTACACCTCCATTACATTAAAATCTAATTCATGATATTTTAATTGTGCTATTTTTTTGAAGGATTCCTGTTATTATTTAATGCAGGTATGTAGGTATAATTTAGTTATATTTCTAATACTTAATTTAATGGCAGATAGTAAGCAGAGACAAACCTAGACCTGTTTTAGTACAGCTGGAGTGATACGAGCGCCCAAAAGTTATTATAATTTTTTAATATTTATTTTGCTTTTTTATTAAAAATGGAAAAAAAAAATTTAGGTTTTAAATGCAGTAGTATATAAATAATTTTCAGTTTATTTTAGCTACCTCATTTTTTCTTCAGGACAATAAAATGAATTAAAAAAAAATTGCTTTTTTTTGTAATTACGTAACTGTCCTTCGGTTACTAACAGAAGATTTGTTAAAAATAAATAAGTATCGTAAAAAAACTTATTTTTAAAAACTTGTTACAAAATTTTATTACAATGGAATGCATAAAAAATTTGATTTTTTTAAAAGATAAAACGAATTTAAAATATCCATTCAGAGTAAAATTAACTTTTGTTGTTTGGCAATTAAGAGTAAACTGCTTTTGATAATTAATGAACAAAAGTAAAAAATATCAGTCTTAATAACTATAGTGCAAATTTAATTTTTGAATGAATGAACTTTTGATCTTTAGCTTACTATTTTAGTTTATGTAAGTAAATCAAAAAAAAAAAAAAAACGTAAATTTTTTCAGGAAGTTTTCTTTCTTTTTCATATTTTATTTGACTTTTAAAAATATAAAAATAACGATTACAATAACATAATAAAAGCTTTATTAAGGTTTGTTTTAAAAAAAAAACATAGTAGATGTAACTTATTTATTAAACCTAATTTTATTAAAAAAATATATACTTTTTAAAAAATTATATACTTTTTATAGTATAATATAATTTTTAAAATATAATATGTTTTTTAATCAAAAAAATATAACAATTTTTTAATTATGTTTACTGTAATTATCTCTTGATTATCTTTAATTTGAATGGCGCCTTCACTTTAAAAATTATTAACTTAAAATTAAATTAAAAAATCACTTTAAATTAAATTAAATTAAAAATCACTTTAAAAATTATTAACTTTTAGTTCAAGTTAAATCAACAGATTTGCTAATGTTGTTTAAAGTATTTAAACATTTAATTACTAATTTAAAACATTAATAACTACTAAAATTAAAATTACTAAAATATAGTTAATAAATGTTTAAAATACTTAAAACAATTTTTAATAATTATTTACTAATAGAGTGGTATTCGCCACAAAAGCGTTTATTATATTCCAAAGTAAAATAGTTTTCTTATTGTAACTAAAGTAACATTGTCCATTGGTAAATTCATGTATTCACAAAAAATGCCTTTAAATTAACTCCTTATCTTTTGGATGAAACTAAATAAGATAAACACAACCCAGTGGGAAAAAGATATCTTTAGACAAATAAAAGACATCTTTTTTATGACTTGTTATGTCTTTTTAGAATTAGCCTAAATAAAGGCTAATTCTAAAAAGGTCAAAAAAACATCAATCGATTTGTATTTCTTTAATAAGATGTAGAAAAGACGTCTTTTATATCGATGACCTTTAAAAAAAAGAAATCTTTGTTACGTTCTTATTGGACCATTTTTTGTGTACAAAAAACTTTTATAAAACTTTTTTTTTATGAAACCTTTTTGCATAGGAAATTTAAATAGAAATAGATGACAGTTACTGTTTTCGGTAAGCGGGTTTATTTCACAATTTATGCAATAAAATAATATATTATATAACATATACATAGTATATACGTTTATATATATATTATAATATATATATATATATATATATATATATATATATATATATATATATATATATATATATATATTATAAAATATATATATATATATATTATAAAATATATATATATATACATATATATATATATATACATATATATAATATATATATATAATATATATATATATAATATGTATAGTATATAATATGTATAATATATAATATATATATATATGTATATATATATATATATATATATATATATATATATATATATATATATATATATATATATATATATATATATATATATATATATATATATATATATATATATATATATTAGGGTGTCCCAGCCGCCCCTTATATTCTAAAAAAGATCGGTTCATATTCTTAAAACTTACGATTGGTTCTCACAAGCAACTCTGTTAAATTTTTTCAAAATTTTATTGGATTTAGAGAGAGCACAAGACCTATAAACACTTACCGGGTCCCTAATAATATTAAAAAAAAAATTTCTTAAAAGTATGTCATGTTGGATCTCAAAAGAAGCGAAATTATATAAAAATTTTAAAAATAGCAATTATTTAAAAAAAAAATTATTATTGAATTTTTTTTTGGAATAATTATCGAAAAAAATACACTTTATTTTTAGGTTAAAAAAGGTCATTTTTCTGCAAAAAACTCTAAAATAATAATTTTTTTATGAAACTGATTTTAAACAACTTTTGAGTTTTTGTGAGATATGTTTCCAAATGAGGAGATATGTTTTCACCATAAAAAATATTTCTAGATAAGAAGCACCTCAAAAATACTGTTGTGACCCATTTAAAGTTCACAAGAAAAAAATTATCAAGGGATTGTGTAAAGTCAACATATCAATAGCAAATCAACTTAAGATCAAACCTGGTCAAAAAGTTTGTACTAATTGTATGAATGAATTCAAACTTGAAAAAACTACAGAAAGTAGTCAAGATGAAGCTGCTGAAGAAGATTTGAGTTGTTCAGACCTTGATTAGAAGTTCTTAATAAGAGTGAGTCTTTATTGGAAATAGCTTCCTTCAAAAATGTAAGAAGACGCAAAAAATTAGGATATGGAAAGTAAAAAGCTAAAAAAATTGCAATAAGTATGACAAACCTAGTAGCGCCAACATTGGATATAGACCCAAAAGATAAAGTATCGGAAAAAGAGCAAAAATGTATTAACTGTAATGATTTAGACCAACTGTTAGATGCAATAAAAAATAAAATATGTTTGAAGGAGGAAAATATGTTTGAAGGAGGAAAAAGTTTAATTTCTAACACTAACTTCTGATAATTGGACAATTAAAAAAACTTTGCAAAACATTTTCAGAGCATCCTGTTAAAAAAGCTCGAAAGTTGAATAAATGAAAAAGCAATACCTGCTAAACCTAAAGCTAAAATAGGACAGCTTTTGGAAGGTATTGTTAAAGAAAAAGTCATTAAAATTTATCAATTCGAAGAGTTCACAAGACAATGTCCAGGAAAATAATATTTTGTTTCTGTACATATAAATAATGTAAATGTTCATAAACAAAAACGTTTAATATTAGTTCAATTAAAGGAACTTCATCTTGAGTTTAAGAAGTTATATCCTAAACACTAAGTTGGATTCAGCAAGTACTGTGAACTAAGAACAAAGTGGTGCATTACAGTTGACAGTAGGGGGAGTCATTTAGTTTGCATATGTTCTTATCATCAAAAAGCTATATTAATGTGTGTTGCTTTACATAAGGACCATTTAATATATTACAAAGATTTGATGAAAGTATGTGTTTGTAATAGATAGTCGAAGCTGCATGTTTCATGTTCCAACTGCCCTGGTAAAGTAAGTTTAATGACACTTGAAAAATGTGTTTGAAAATAATGATTTTGATGATCATATCATATACAAATAATGGGTGTCAACTGACCGAACTGCACTTGTCACAGTCCAAACAAGCATTATTGAGTTTATTGAAACTCTAAATGAAACTTGGTATGATCTTTATCAAAAAGCAACATTAGGCAAAAAGAACATTAGATCAACACATGTACCATCTTAAAGATCACAATATAAATGCTGAGCACCACTTCTTTGCTACATCCCATGGCAAAAGTCTATGTGTTGGAATAGGAGGAACTATAAAAAGACAAGCAACAAAAGTGAGTTTATAAGTAGCAAATGCAAACCAGATTCTCACACCAAATGAACTGTTTATTTGACATTTGACAGATTCTCACACCAAATGAATTATTTTACATTTCAAGTGATAATATCAATAATCATGAAACTTATTTTAACCTAAAGAAACAATATAAAGAGATGAGCATGACCCAGGCACAAGATGCTATCACAGTTTTGTACCAGGTGGAGAGAAATTTTTTTTACTGAGAATATCTAGCTAAACTGTTTATGATACCCATAAAAAGATCCTTTAAACTTTTAACCTGGTAAATACATCGCATACTTTTATAATGAATGGTACATAGGACTTGAACTTGAGATTTGTAATGAAAACCAAGATGTTAATAAAAAATTCATACATAGAAAAAATTAAATTTAAAATGGACTAATGATGCACAATCAAGTCAGTGTTGGGTTTCAATTTGACAAAGTACTATGTCAAATAAGTGCTCCATCTTTAAGGGTAGAATTGCTCGTAACTACACACTTGCAAATAATGATTATGAAAGTATTATGAATTATGTAAATCAGAGATAAAGAAATTAGTGTACTTATGTTTCATGTGTAAATACACTTCTTTATTCAGCATTTTTTAAATAGTTTCATAATTTATCTTAACTAAGA